TTATTATTATTTTATCATATCTTACCCCATCCAACGTCTCCCTCACCCACTTCTCCGCTGTCCGTCCCCCAGGGGGTAGGCCACATGTAGACCTTGTCCTCTGTTCCCCCTTTCTCCCTCTCCTTCCCTAAAGCTCTTTCTTACACACATATTTGAGTGTCTCTGGATTTGTTTCTCTAGTCAACCCAGACGAACACACATACCAATCTGTGTAGCTATGTTTACAAAATCATCTGTTGACATAACTTGTAACACGCATACAAAACTGACAGTCAAAGGTCCAAATCTGAGACAATGGTTGAAGCTTGTGTCCCTCCACACCAGGGATGACTATGTCCCTCTAACGACTGAGAACTGAAGCACTAGTGTTTACTTACAGGTAACTGCCCCAAGTGGAATCAGGAAAGAACCAGTTAATAATTAACTCCTGTGTGTGTGTCATGGGTAGAGGTAGGAGATTATATAAATAAGGAATAAGATATGAAAAAATATGTATCAGATTACAAAAAAAAACTGAACAGCGAAAAAGAAAGGTAGAAGTGAAAACAATCAAAAAAGGAAAAAGAAAATTGTACTATATAAGCCCAATACATCTGATTTCATTTATTGAGTGTACATGCATAAACAACTAGAATACAATAGTTCTAGGTTTATCTAGTAGCCTTGTAGGGATACATTTGATCTATGAAGAAAAAAATCAAACACCAAAACAACAGATTAATGCATATATTATGATCATATGTTGGTTAAAAACAGTTGATTCTCCGTATATGTGCCCCTAAAGGTCCCTGGGTGCACATGGTAAGTTCTCAGGTGCGAACCAAGAAGGAGGTGGTTTGAATTTACACAGAAGTTTCACAGGAGAAAGGCCTGACACTCTGCTCCTGGAAAGAGCACAGCCTGGAAAGTTCTAGAAGGCGTTGCTATTCTGTCACATGAATCACAATGAGTCCCCCATCGGCCAGATGGCACCTAAGATAGCACATGTGCACCCACCTCTGTCTATGCTCACATTAGTGAGGTAAGAAAGGTAGAGAATGGTTCATATAGGGTTTATTATTAGCTACTACAGGAGCATGAAATTCGATTATGAGATAAAGATGAAGGAGTTAATTAAATCTTTCATGTATCTGTGTTGTATTTCTTGTTCAAACAAGCATGTCTACAATTTGAAATATGTCAAATAACGAAAGCTTTACGTATCAATAGCATTCATCTAGCTTTGATCGTCTAGAAATACAACTCTTTATAGAAAAGCAAGCAAAAGTCTTTACCACTTTATTGCCATCTTCTTGGATGACTTGGATATGAAATTGTTCAATATCTTAAAAATAAAAACAATAGAAAATTAAGTTAACCTTCAGGAAAACTATGAGTGTTTTTTTCACCAGTTGTAAACAATTTTTTATAAAAGCAATTCCAGATAAACAACTGCTCTAAAACAGTATAATCAGACAGTAATTTCACTTTTCAAAATGACCCCTTCTCTACCCTCCCACCCATTAAAGTCAAACAAAGTTCAACAGTCACTTCATTCTTCAATATCAACAACAGATGAAGTATAAAAATAGATATGTGAAAACACCAACACTAAGAACAATGAAGCGTTTTACGCTGTGTAACTCCAGGTTTGCCTTCCCTACCCCATCAAGCTTACAAAGAAGGGCCCATTTGGCGGGATTTGGCATAGGGGGTTACACGTTGGACTTCAATCCCCAAGGTCAGCAGTTCAAAACCACCAACATCCTATTCCAGTAAACAGTTAGTCTCAGAAACTCATTTGGGCAGTTCCACCCTGTCCTACAGGGGCGCTAGGAGTTGGCATCAACTCGAGAGCAGTGAGTTTGTTTGTTTGTTTGTTTGTTTGTTTTTGTTTGTTTTTTGAAAGAGAACCCTCGATTTCCAAATATCGATGAGATGCAGTCCATTAATATCCTCCTTTTAGCTACAATTCCTTTCACGGTGGATTATAATTCTGGACTCTATGCCTGTAGCTATAACTCCATTGTGGAGGGAGTTCTCTGTTACAAGTTTCCGAAACCAGACTCACTACCATCAAGCAGCCTTAGGAGAGGGTGGGAGAACCAAGTCCCTTTACTTGGGCTCATCTCTGAGACGAATTTATTAGAGTGAGACTTAAGACACCACCCTTTGTTTGAGGATGTGGGCAGCCAAAAGACAAAGGCCACACCTCCATCAAAGCCATTCCTCAGAATCCACAAGCCGTCTCACACACAGAGAACGCCCAAAAAGTCCAAGATCCCCGCCTTAGAGGCAGAGGCCACTAAGGACCAGATGCATCAGAAACGATGGCACAGAGGTTCCGAGGAGTGGTGCCAAGACTGGCCTTCTCCTCATCTGGCTGGAGACATGGGAGTGGGTGGCAGAGCGACAGGCCGGCTGGCTTCCTGGCCCAACCAAGGCAGAAGCCAAGGGGCCACGTGGCGGACTGGCTGAGGACCAGAAAGAAACGTGGCTGCTGGTCAAGGAGAGCTGTTGCTGTGGACCAGTGACTGTCCCTCTTGTTGACTGATCCTGACTCATGGTGACCTATTAACTTCTCTAATAAACCCCTTTAATCCTGAGCATTCTCTGTGAGTTCTGTGTGACCATTGCGACAGAGTCTCAAACCCAGTATAGACGTAGACTAGAGTGTCATGAGGGGAAGAGTGGGTGTTGGGCGAGGGAAAGAAGGATGGACCGAGGAGGCATTTCTGACCCCTGCCTCATCGCAATAGGGAAGCCAGAGGAGGTCGGATATGTCCACCCCGATGTTGACCATTGCAACCGAATACCTATTTGTACAGACCACAGATTCCCAAACTTATTTGGACTACCACTCCCTCTGCAGAAAAAACTTATTCCATGCCTCCTGGCAATGAAAAACTTTTGTATTACAGCCCATAATCCAGGTCAAATCTGCTTTTGTAGCCCCACCCCCTTGATTGGTTTCAGCAGGATCATATACTTTAGAAAACAGTATAAACAAATCAGATATTATACAAGATAATTTGGGAGTGTATTTTCATGGAAGACACTGTCAGGCTAACAAAACCTTGAACATTTTAAGTCAACTTGCAGGTGGCTCTGTTCTACCAGTAAGCAATGTAAATTAAGCCACAGTGACCTGCTATATTTCTCCTTACAAAATATGAGACAATTAGGCAAGAGTGTGGGGAAATTAACACAAATCCTAGGTAATAATATAAATAACACAAATCCTTCCGGGTAATAGTATAAATCAGCCATTTCACCTTCAAATATGAAAGACTACCTGTTAGCGATCCAGCAGGGAATTTCGTTCTTTCCCACCCCCACCTATACAACATTTTATAAGGGCATTACTTTCTATGTCCTGGTTTTAATCGTCTCTCCCTGAATTTGTCCAAATTAGTCTATCTGCTCATATACTGTCATCAGATTCTTCGATGTACTAAAGCCTTTTCCTCTCTCTACTAGAGCCTCTTTGCAGCTACCCTTGTCTACTGTGACAGAGATGCTACAGAAAGGCATTCTGACAAGGCTGGAATGACCTGCATGCCTCTTCTATAAATATCCCACCATGTGACACACTGAAAATCTGCACGTGTACAGACCCATCGTCCCTGCCAAGAGGAAACGGAGCACAGGATGAGGGAAGAAAGAAAAGGTCTTGTCTAGGAGGCCTGGACCTGAAATGGGTAAGATAGGTCAGTGCACCCCAGCTCTGGCAAGTGGACATCTAGCAGATTCTATCCTGTCCCCAACTCCACTAGGAGACCACGCCCCCGTCATTAGTTCCCAAGATCTCCTGCGGGTATACTTACATTTTTCTTCTGAAATCAACAGCAGCCGTTGTTCTGAAAGAGGGTGATTGTCAACGTGTGGGTAAAGGAACTGTAAAAACAAATAGTAATCAAAATCATAAGTAACTGCGTTGCTTGCATAAATATTCACCGCTGTCCTACTGACATTCGATGCAAGAGACTGGGAAGCACAGGATCGACGTTCAGGGACATCACAGGCAACCACACATGACAAGTCAAAGCAAGTAGGAGCACTTTCAGGAACTTGGTTTCCGTGGGAAACACTGACAAAGCGAATTAAAAACAAACAAAAACCTTCGCCGCCATCAGTCGATGCCGATTCGTCATGGATCTAAGACAAGACAGAACTGTCCCTGTGCGTTTCTGAGACTGTAATTCGTTTCTGAGTAGAAAGCCTCGTCTTTCTCCTGAAGAGCGGCTGGTGGTTTTGAACTGCCAACTTCACAGTTAACCCAATGCGTCACCACCACACTACTAAGGAGAAAGGCTAGAGTTTAAATTCGGGCTGTTGCTTCCTGCTTGGAATATGTGATAGAAACGCCAGTCAGAAACAATGTAAACAACGCGTACGTAAAATGGGGTTTTTGCAAAGTAGATCAATATATTTGTTGTGCAAGTGTGTGTAGCACTGAATTTGAAGGTCAAGTCAACATTCTCTTGCCTAAACTTCCAAGGTCCCGCATTCAGCAAACAAAGTACATGAAGAGACATAACCAGGGACTTTCCAGGAAAGGACCGTGAGTCATGGGGCAGCATGGGGTGGGGGGTTTACAGGCCCCCGAGCACAGACTGGCAGCCACGGGGTGGGGCAGGTGTAGAAAAGGCTCTCTCCACCCCACTGGGCCTTCTCTGCTTCCTCCGCGGTCCACCAGCCTTACAGCCACCAGCCACCAGGACAAAGTGGTTCCAGAATGTTAAAACCAGACCTGACGCTGTCGGGTGTGGCAATGAAGGAAAACTGGTGTCAAATGAATCAGGACAAAAGCCCCAGTGACGTAATTCTTTCATCACCGAAACGGTTACGCCATGTTACAGTCAGCAGACACCAGATACCAGGAAAAAACGTATTACCTACCTTTTCACCCACTGACTATAGAATGGAGACATTGTTTAACTTATCTGTTGAAAATCCTCCCTTTTAGAAGTGAAAAACCACGCACTACACTGTCTGTACAGCGTTCTGAAAAGCCACAGCCTTTATAGACAGCAAGGCAGAAAAGAGCTGCCTAACTAAGGCCGGGCTGGTTCTGTGATTTGGTGCACGTGAAACCTGGGCTGCGGAAGTGGACGAGAAGCCCAGGTGAGTGCCACGGCACGCGCACTGTAAACGAAAACTGTCGGAGCCTCAACATGAAGGGACCCCCCTCCGAAGACCCTGTGGCCTCCCCTCAGATCTCCGGGCAGCCTGGGGGTGCCTGCTGGGGAGCTGGACTCGGGACGGCAGGCTGTAACTTTCAAATGGTCATCCCTCCGCATGTGGCAAGCCCCGAGGGAGGGCCAGGCGCTCTCCTAGTTGCATGGACGTGGCTGTTTTTCTTGGAATGACGGAGCAGCCCAGGGGCAACTCCGGGTGCTAGAACACAGACAGGTATCCAACCAAAGCATCCAGATGTCTTTGGTGGTGTGCCACGAACCTATACAGACTGCGTTGCATCTAGGAAGAGGTTTTCTTTATAAAGATGGAATAGTACTCTGCATATCAATATTTTCCCTGGGAAGGTAGAAGAGAAGACTTCAAAAAGTTTGTAGGAAAAAATGGAATCAAAAGTAACAGAATTTTCTCACAAACGTTTTGAGGTGTACAGGGAGGTGTGTGAATGAATGTGTTGGAAGCTGCTGGAACCACCATCTGGAAGGTCCACCTCACTCACGCTGGGAATGCCGGTGAGGTGGTGCTGGTGACTCATTGTGAGCCACAGCCACTCCGTGTGACAGCAAGGAACCGCTGGGGAGACCTCTCAAAGGCTGCAGACATGGGTCCCAACCCGCCCTGCACACAGGCGTGGGACTGATCCCAGGATGTCACTCCGCACAGAGTGGGAGAAGTGGCAGTGGCAGTGGGAGAAGAAGGTGGGCACGGGTCACAGATGCAGGTTTCCAGGAGCAGTGTCTCTCCACAGGGCTATTCCAGGAGCAAGCAGCAGAGCCAGCTTTGGGACGGGCGGCTACAGCAAGTACCATGTACTTTAAAAAAATAAGAAGTTTCTTTCAGTTGCCCCAACCTTTCAGTAAGGTCTTGAAAAGCTATAACTGGGAGTGGGGAAGTGGGGGGGGAATCCATTCTCGATTCACTACTTTGTTTTATATTATTGTTATTTTAAATGGGTGCAACTGAAGGAATGCAATAAGTCAAACATGCCAACATTTGACTATTTTGTATCCAGATGCTCCCCGAGCCAAAAGAGCAGGTCAGAAAAGTGACGCATGCGCCTCCCATAGCCACATCTGCCAGACGATGGTGGACAGAGCGGCTTCCGGGGGGAGGGAGTAAGTCGGGACCACAGTGAAGCCACGGGTGGTGGGGCAGAGCAGGGGGTGAAAGACGGTGGATGGTAGATTCCGGGCAAAGAAGCGGTCATGTTTTCTCCTCGCACGCACTGCAGGAGCCCTGATGGCAATGAGTCTGGGGTGGGGGTGGGGGTGGGGGTGGGGGGGACTCTGTAGAGAGGGAGGAAGAAGCAAATCCTCCAGTCTACACAAGGGGACTACACAAGGTAGACCAAAAGAAAGGATGTTTGGGCCCCATAGCAAAATTTGAGGTTTGAGTTCATGAAGATTATGCTGAGGAGCGACACTCGGGTGTACCTGGTGCACCTGCATCGTGCACACAGCGCGTCGGCATCAATCAGTGCATGGCTTGTCATGTGCTGAAACTGATTTACACTGATAGACAATTTCGAGAGTCATCTTAAATGTATTTTAATATTGGATATTTTACCAAGTAAAACCATTAACATTACTGTCAAAAGGCCGTGGCTGCTCAGAGGCCACGGAGGTAGGTTTGAATTCCTGTCTTCCACGTGTGCAGAGCAAGAGCCACGGCTTCCCGTGCTACCCATGTGTATTGAGGGTTAAGTAGGGTAATGCGTGTGATGGCATGCTGCAGATGACGCCAGTACCTCAAGGTTTTGTGCCTTCCGATGAATGAGACAGGTGATACATGACATGCTCACTTACCTGCACCCAAATATAGCTATCCACTGCTTTGAGAACCTTCACATTATTGATGGGATGGATTTCCACTAACAGAGTTAGACATTTTGATCCTACAAAAGAAAATGAGATCTCAGTAATGAAGACTTACTACATAATAAAGGTTACAAAATAAGCAGGAGGAGGAACTGCTAACAAATCCTATTATACTGACTATAGACCAATCCAACAACTCTCCCTTCATGCAAACTGTAGTTAGTTCTATCAGGGATGGATGCTGGTTCCAGGACCCTCAGAGAGCTAACAATCTCCCAAAGAGCCGGCTTTTCACATCCCTGGAGAGTCCTGCAGAAGTTGCACGCTATCATGTAACCTTAGATGCTCAGGAATCCAAGTGTAAACTTGGGACGTCTTTGAGCAGACATCAAGGGAGGCGCATTTTAGGCTCATAACAAGTCTGTCACGTATGGAGAAGCATCACATTGAAAACAGAAGTGGCTTCAGGAAGAGGTTGTACCATTTTTCAGTCTCACCAGCAATGTATGAGTGCCAGACACACCGATTTTGACTGTGTTTCATTTCCCCCTAAGGTCTTAGGATCCTAAGATTCACAAGCAGTGCAGGTGAAGACTTTATGAGGCTCTTTGCTATCGATCCCTACAAAGCCGGAGAATTTAGTTAAGAACATAAAAGTGTGGGGAGAAATGTTTGCTTTCCACATAGGTTTGACTTTTGAAGTGTAAATGTGGTACTTATTATATTACCTATTCCACAGAGAAAAGTCGTGTAACATTCATGTCAGTACTTTTCGAGCCCAGAATGGGTACACAATACAACGCCAGGGAGAAGTCACTGTACATGGGCAGAGTGTCCTTGTTCCTCCAGCATACTTCGCCTCAGCTTTGCAGATCTCCTTGTCTAAACAAGCACACTTCAACTGGGTATCCTTCCAATTCTGCAGCACAATGACAAATGTCCTCTGGAGAGTGGAATGTGAAGGCATTCTGGGTGCCTGACCATGTCATGGTGGACAGCACCTATCAGTAGAACATGCACTTGGTTTCCTGCTTGGGAATGGTACTGGAGTTCCCCGATAGAAGACCACGTCTGTCCTGGTGTCACATCGGAGCAAGTGGTATACAAGATAGCAACGTGGAGGAAATCCCGGGCCTGGCTAGAAGGAGGTTACCACAGATATCCAAACGTAGCTCCAGGGTTTCCCTCTCCACAAAAGGAGTTGCCTTCTATTTGAATTCTTGTGAAGACTCATACAATCAAGCATTCTCTCAATGACTTTGTAGTCTGAATAATAATGTATAATTTGAGACTGACACAGCTACCTGGAATTCAATCAGTGCCAAGTGGCCGATATTCAAGAAAGTAGGTTTTTTGTTTGTTAAGGGGGGTGGTTTCTAAAACTTAAATCTTTACGGGAGTAGTCTGCCTCGTCTTTCCCAAGGGAGTGGATGCTGGGTTCCCATGGTTAGCAACATCAGTGTGTAACCATGGTGCCCCGGGCCTCCTCGGACCAGTACACAGTAGAAGATTCAGAAAGTGAATGCATGCTCTTTCCAACCAGAGCCAAGCCATGGGCATCTCCCAGGAGAACTGGCACAAGTGCTGCAAGAGGGGGGGCAAGAGAAAGTCCTCCCAGAAGCAGCAGAAGTCTGAGCTGAGATGCCCGGCTGCCAACGGTGAGATTGGCCCCTGTCTCATCCGCATAGTTTGTGTGAGAGGAAGAAACAAGGAGGGACCTAAGGCTGCATGGGGGGAACTTCCCCAGGGGCTCCTAGCATCGTACTCGAAAAGCAAATCTCATCCATGTTGGACGTTGTTTGCAGTGCATCCAACCATGAGCTGCCCAACCAAGACCCTGGTGAAGAACTGCATTGCGCTCTCGGGCAGCACACTGTACATGTTTCCAGTCCTGCATTGCCCTGCCCCTGGGCCCCAAGAAGGGGCTCAACTGACTCCTGCAGAGAAAGAGATATGAAATAAAAAGCAACCAGAAAAAATTCAGAAGAAATAGGATGAAAGGAAAAAGGATGCAAAAGTCAGCTGTCTTCCAGAGAGGCAGGCCGAGCTGCCTGCGTGTGTGGCTTTGAGGGCAGGCCAGAAAGGCCAAGCAGAGGGCAAGGAGCTGGAGTTCTAGTGGAGGAAAATCCAGGCTTGAAAAGGCAGGTAAAGCCTCCTATCCTAGCACGTATTCTAAAGGCGTTCATTCTTTTGAAAGAAAAGTGCACGAGCAAAGAGCTTTAGCGTAGGTCTGTGGCTACATGTCAGCTAGGCTTATGAAATCGTTTTGGCTATCACTAATTCTCCTTACCCGGGCTGTCAAGCCCACTGTGGCTCACGGGGACTCCACGGGGCAGAGCAGGCGAATCTTTATGGAAGGAGACGCCCCACCTTTTTCCCTCTGGTGGGTTCAAACCCCCAATCATTTGGTTATCCGCCAAACAGGTAATGCACTGCAACCACCAGAGCTCCTTGATACCTCCAGGCAGGGATATTACTTTGAAAGAATATATTGCTCTAGAAACACTGCATAAAAATGCAGCAGGTGGTCGTTTGCATGTCACCTTGTCTGGCAGTGTCATTCCTGTGCTTCAACGCTCGGTGCAAAGGCCACTGTTGTTTGGTAACTGAATTCTTGGCAGCTTACGATCAAGATCCCATGGCTAGGACCAGGCACCGGCTCTAAAGGACTGTGAATTATGGGAAAGAGGCAAAGGTGAGGTGCTTTCAGAACTGACTCGATGGCTCAAAAAACGGTCCTAGGAAAAAGAAAGGAAGGGTCCAAGATGTGCGTGAAGGAAAAACAAATTTGGAGGAAAATGTTTCATTGGGAAAGTTCAAATTCGCCTGCTAGGTAGGCCCTTATAGCTGAATTTGTACCCAAATGAAATAATCAGCTATGGACTAAACTTGTTTATCTTTAAAATGGGTAGGTCTTCAAAGGCAGACACCATTTCCCCACATGAATGTGCCCCCTCTCTTGTACAGCACAGAGACTGAACGCTGTTAGATGCCATCCAGTGGGTTCTGACTCAGGGCAACACCGTGTACAAGAGAAGGAGACGCTTACTCATAACTAGCCTGATGCCTTAAGTCAAGGCTCACAAGACCATACTCCACATTCACAGTGTAGTGGGAAACACTGGATGGGGGCAGTAAAGATAGTTCTAGTTGAGCCTAACACATAATTTCCCAGCAAATCGCCAATTTTCTAGACCTCCATGCTTTACTGTCCAAAAAATAAAATTAAAACTTAAGTGTGACAGAATGGGACTATTTCAATAATCATACTTCTAGACTGTGTGGAGTGCTAAACCTGTATTAAGATTTGAGCACAGAGCTATCAGTGTAGACTGCAAGGGTGGGCGGGATATGGATCTCGCAGGAAGTAGAGATTGCAGGATCAGAAGTACAGTGAACCCTCGCCACTTTGCGCTTTGACGTCCGCGGCTTCACTCTATCGCGGTTTTTGCGTAACAGCACATGCTCTGTCATTACTGCCACTGATTGGCTCATACTGTACACGCTTGATGCCATAAATAATATAATAAATAATAAATGATCATTGTAACGTCCAAAATGTTTTACTGTATTTTCCCTTTTTCGTTTAATAAATTGGGTAATACGAGTGTAATGGTGACTAAAGGGTGTTTTTTCATGTCCTCTATGCTCTAACTACGAAAATATTTGATTTACAAATAAGGAATCCTACTTCGCGGAATTTCATTTATCACGGTAGGGTCTAGAACCGATTAACCGCGATAAACGAGGGTTCACTGTACAGGGATAGATAAGACCTGGGGTGGGACCCTGACTGGTTGGAGGTGACTGTGCACATGGTGAAACAGTGACAATTTTGGAAGAATACAGAAAGGCCTGGTTCTGAAGGAGCTCTGACAATCGGAGCTTATGAAACGAACCTTAGTTCCGTGGACTATGTGTAGCACCTGTTCATGGCACTGCCTGGGAGCTACAGAAAGTCCCAATAGCAACGTGCAGTCCACCACATGAGACCACCCCAATTACTGCCCGGTAGGGACTTAGATGCCTTGTGGCAAGTGGCCACCCAGGGGCCAGCTTGGACCTGACTTCTCTGGAGGGACATTTCCTAAATTAATTCTGCCCACGGCCACAGCCAAGAAGAGAAACATTGTGAGTAAAACCCGTTTAGAGTATGTTTGCTAAAGAACCCTATCTCGGTCATATGAGAGATGTTTCCGTCTGTCCCATTACTATGGGAAAATCTCATCTTATGCAACACGCAGCACAATGTTGAAAACAGTACCTTCAGGCAAAGCACATTTCTTCACAAATGGTTTATAAGGTCAACCACAGACAGACTAAATAAACCTTTCCTAAATGTTTGTTCAAAACAGACTATTATTATTAGATCCTAGAGGAAAGATCTGAAATCGAACACCCATTCTGAAATGGTAACAAAATAAAATCCTCCCATGAAGGTCAGCACCTCCCACTGACTGATGACTCTGTAAAGCCAGTGAAATATTGATGTGAGTGTTCTGGCCAAAGTCTTGGTAACTCCCACCAGAGCACCTTTTCCTGCATGGGTCTGCTTTGAAAGGTGAGGAAGACCCTGATAGGATTCACCTGTGAGTAACTGTTAACAGGGGTCACTGGACGCTCATCCCAGGCAGAACTGGTCCTCACAGCCCTGGTTGGCTTACAGGGGAAGCATATGCAAAGCTATGATGTTCACACGAGCCCAGCGGTGTTGTGGTCAGGCATCGGGTGGCTAATCACAAGGTCAGCAGTTTTAAACCACCAGCCACTCCACGGAAGAAAGATATACAGGCTTTCAGTTGTGGAAACCCACAGGGCAGTTCTACTCTACCCTATCGGGTTGCTATGAGTCAGAATCGATTTGATGGCAGTGAATTTTGAGCTTGATGATGTTTATAAATGGGGTCCTGGTGGCACAATGGTTAAGCACTTGGCTGGTAACTCAAGGTAATTGGTTACAACTCAGCAGACACTCTGTGGGATAGATGCGGCAAGCTGATTCTGTAAAGACACGCAGCCTGGCATACGGGAATACACCGACCACCACGCATAGGATTGTTAAAGGATATTTATGCTA